ATATATAAATAAATATAAAATATATACAATACTCTAGCTGCTGTGTTACAACTTTAGGAAAATGCAATTTTTGCTAGCTTTTGTTATTGTTACGTCGACAATTTTGAAAGGTAACGGTTCATGTCAGGTGTGCTCCTCGCTCTGTTCGCCGTTCGCTGTTCGCTGTTCGTTTCGCCTCAACGTGAAGCACTTGAAACTATTTATAAATTAAGAAATGAAATCATCTCTTCGTATACAACAAAATATTATTGCATATATATTTGCCTATATAATTCGCATATATATCTTTAATACGCGCTAATGTATATGTGTGTATGCACGTATACACAAAAATATGTAGAAGATCGCTATAGTAACAGGATCTTGGTGCAGTTTTATTGTTGCTTTATGACGTGAGTGCACCGAACCGCGCAGCTTTGCAAACAAAACATGAAAATTACGAGAAATACTCTTGGAGAGTTTGTAACCGTTTTTTATGTGCTGTGATCTACATTCGAAAGTAATGAAAGAATAGGCGAAAAAGTTCAAAAATATGATTGAACATTAAACTAAAAATAAGCAATAATAGCCAAAAATAAGCAATAATCATAGTAAAAATCATATATATATATATATATTAAAGTAAAAATCACATATTATACTACGAGATCAGACTGACTGATGAATATATATACTCTATGAGCTCTTCCTTTGTCTGTTACATGAAAATTTAAAAAATCATCCTACTTCAAATTTCAATTCAAAATGCGTTCAAGATAAATTTATAAATAATGATCAAAAATAAAATTAAAATATATAAAACTATAAGAATAATATTATAACAAAAGTATATTAATAAAAGAAAAGTTCTGACGAAGCTGCAAATCATTTGTTTAAAGATTTCATTTCAAATTGCGAACTTAATTTTGGAATACATCAATACGGCGTATAGTATATATACTGATTACCACCCATGGATAAATTTTCTATGTACATTTGCTTACAGTTTTCGACTGAATAAAAACACATGTTTCAAAGATGTTGATTTAATTATGAATAGGTCAGGCGGAAACCTTGGGCGAAAGTTGCTAATTTAAACACTTTTGGTGCGCTCGAGCGATTTTAGACTTAGATATATATATATATAGAGCTAGATGCTTGACTATGGAAATAAAAGTGATTTGGAAAGTGGTTGTAGAGCAATTCGCTGGTAAAAATCACTTATAAAGAAACTAAAGAAGAAATAAGGTATGTTTGGGTATAGAAAATGGCAAAACAGAATTAGAGAAAAAATAAATTGGAAGAATGAAAACTCATAAAAGTTGGGTAAAAGATTTTGTATACTTTTTTTTTGTAGGACAAGTAATTTTCCCTTATTCTAAAAAATGTGGTTATATGAGAAAAATGCCTTCGAATGCTGAGAAAGACTTCATCCTTGAAAACAGGACGATTAGATTTGAGTTGCTGAACTTATCGACTGAAAGATTAAATTATATATATAAAAATTAAATAACGAATATTTATTAAATATACAATTCGTTTGTCTAAAGATTTTTATGACTTGTCATAGTCCACATGGGCAAAATGTTGCTCATAAATTTTCATATGAAAATGTATTCGAATACTTTTTGTTTGTAGTAAGAGCAAGGCGTGACCTTTAAATGGCTTTTTAGCATTTTGACGTGAAAATAAACAAATGTATATATATTATGTTATA